AGCAACTTTGGCCCTCTATATCTCCACACTAAAGCACATTAAGTCTTTTAAATTTTCATAAATATTACTCATGTTGCAGTTTGTTTTTAGCAACTAGGTGTATGTGAAAGAACTCAAACTTTCTTATTTATGAGGTGTTAAAAAAATGAAAAAATAAAATCATTTCATGTCTATATTTCAAATGCATATTGCCCATGTATGACAAGGTCTACCATAAAATGAATTATACCACTTGAAAGAGCATATTGTAATTAGCAAATGCACAAAATATGAACTTGGTACCTTGAACCTATTTTAGAAGTTAAAGACATCTTATACTAGACAACAATTCCTGAAAATTTCATGCATCTAGCATGAATAGTTCTAAAGTAATTACTTATGGAACTTTGTAACTATTTCTGTAGCACTTGTTTTTACAGTATAATTAGGGCCACACACTCTTAAAAAAAGTCTCTATATCTCAGAAACTAATGCAGATACAAGCCTGAAATTTTGCACACCATATACTGGAAATAGTGACATTATTTCCAGAAAGTGTGAAGCAAATCTGAGATGGTCAGTCGGGAACATTTTTTAAAATGTGGTGATTTCAGGTGGATTTACCATATTGTTTTAAGACTACTGGCTCATGATGTGGTAGATTTTCTCCAATTTTTTTGCTTTCATGTGTCTTTTGATTTTGAAAATGTATGTTTCTTTTAAGAGTGCAAATTATTCTTGATGAAATCTTTGAAAAGATTTAATGTGAGTGTTGTGGTGTACTACAGGGAGCAGCCTCTCTTTAGCACAAAGGCACACGTCTTCCAGATCGATCCGGCCACTAAGCGAAACTGGATTCCTGCCAGCAAGCATGCCATCACTGTGTCATTCTACTATGACGCCAGCAGGACTGTGTATCGCATCATCAGTGTAGGCGGCACAAAGGTAAGACCGCTAGATCCAGAGCACTACAACTTGTATGGTCTTTATTTTGAGTTAAGTGTACCTCTTGTTGCCATTTGCTTTGACTCAGGCAATTATAAACAGCACCATAACACCTAACATGACCTTCACGAAGACTTCACAGAAATTTGGGCAGTGGGCAGACAGCAGGGCAAACACTGTATATGGATTAGGCTTCTCTACAGAGCAGCATCTTCAACAGGTAAGCAGTTTTCTGAACAAAGATGCACTCTTTTGCATTTCTTCCTGGATTATGATGATGAAGTGACCAAATAGGATGAACTGTTAAATAAGCAAAAAGTATAACATGCAATAAACCCATTTTAAAAATGTGACTTCAAATTGCAGTTGGATTACAATTTGCAATTACAGTTGTGTAGACAATCTTGATTTAAAAAAAAAATTATGTTGAGGTTAAATGCTGCTTATGTACTTCATTAATGCACTGCGCTTTCTTTGACTGCTATAACAAGCCAGTTCCCTTACAAGATCAATAAAACGTCCATCCCATACCCATTTACCCATTCCAATCTCATTCCCAGTCCCATCTCAATCCCATTCCAATCCCATCCATCCCAGTCTCATCTCAATCCCATCCCAATCCATCCATCCCAATCCAATCCATCCATCCATCCATCCAACTATCCCAATCACATTCCAAACCCATCCAAATTCCAGTCCACCCAATCTTGTTTTATTCTTCCAATTCCATTTCATCCTCATCTATCCCAATGCCATCTAATCTCAATCCCAGTCCCATGCATGCCAATGCCAACTATCCCAAACAATCCATCACAATTGCATCCATTCATCTATTCCAATCCCATCCATTCCAATACAATATAAAAAATATTTGCTGTCTGTGAAACTAAGGTTTATTTATTTTTCTTTTGTGTACTCTGTACAGTTCTCAGAACAGTTCAAAGAAGTCAAGGAAGCTGCACGTCTGATGAGGGAGAAATCGCAAGAGAAGTTTGAGCTGATCGGTCCAGGTTTAAACATGGCTCCTCTACAGGTCTGTTACCCTGCTTTATATTAAAACACTTTATTATACATTCATACTTATAATGTAGTGACCTTGATTCCTTCATGCCACACTGTGCCTAAATTAATAGTTAAGCTTATTTGAAGTTGTGACTTGAAATTTACTGCACAAAATTCATACTTAGTATGAGATGCGACAATATCCAATGCCCTTTAGATTACCTTGGGAAAATGAATACATTTTAAATATAAGGTTGAAAATGCTAAGCCACATAGAGACAACTGTATACTAAAATGTATCCAAAATGTTGTATCAAATCCTTTGTAGCTTCCAACACTTACCGAACATCTTTATATAAAGTACTTTTGCTATCTCTAGCTAAGAAGTTTCTATGCTTCTCTTAAGCCATATAGAAGGTCTGTATGAATCGGCCATTGAATGAGAGTTATTCATCTTTAATCTGACCTGAGTATTATGAATGATTCAAGTAAACAGAGTGTGTGTCTGTAGCTGGTAAAATGGACTTCTTTTCAATTAATAAAAGCCATTTTAGAGTGCTGCATGAAACCAATGGTGCATAGAGGCAAAGAAACATGAAAACATACATAAATGAATAAGGAGCCCCCATGTAAACTCTATGGCTCTTCACTTATAGCTTCACTCACTGTTAGTGGTTTAAAATTTTTATTTTAGGATCTCTTTCTTCTAAGTCAGGTTTTTATCTTTGAAGATGTAGCATCTCAGCCATTTATAAAGTTAAGTTTATTTATGTATTGCTCCTCCATATCTTTTTTTTTAGTAGTTAATCTTTTATTTATTATTGAAATGTATTACATATACAGTATGAATAAGAAAGCATGATGTATAATACATACTTTCATTTCCTCACATGGCTCTCTTCTTTATGTGACTATGGGACAGCAATAAGCCCTTCAGACTTCCCTTTAGTTTCAAATGTACTTTATCTTGTTGGACCTCAGTAACCCAGTTACTGCTTATCAGATGTCTTCTTATAATGTGTAAGACCTAGTTTGCTTGACCTCTATGCAATGGATTGTGCCCAATCTAACTCTTGAAGGAGGTGTTTTTCCTAAATAGGTCCTAGTTAATATACTTTTCTTACCATCATTTTATGTTTGCAACGTCTTGAGCTTTTGTAGGTATAATTCATAAGTCTCTCGTTCCCATCTATTGACGTTAACCAGCATGGAGCTGTCTTTGATGAGTTGTCCATCACTGATGATCAATTCTTTCTGTTTGAAATTATTTTAAAACATGCAGTGAGAGCAGGCCTCTAAATCTCTCGCCTCTCGCTGTCAGCTAAGGAGTTGAGGGTATTGAGCCCTGTAAGCAAGAGTGAGCTCTTCTGGCTGAAGCTGGCATTTGAAATGGATTAATAATAGAAGCTTTTTCCTAAATGAAAGCACACAGGACTTGAAAGAGCCAGTACAACATGCGCTTTATAAGTCATGCTGGTGTGGTCTGTGGTGTTGAAAGAGAATGTAAACCCATAATCTTTCAAAGCCACAGATTGAGTACAGGGACACTAATAATATGAACAATATTAAATTGGTCATGTAAACATACTAATATAAGTAGTGAATTGATTACATGGTTTGTTTAAAGAAACGTGTTGATTCCCCCTGCATCAATGTTAAATGTGTCTCATCTGTTCAAAGTCCATGGAACCAGTCAAAACTGGGAACATGATGCACCACTATGGAACATTTTACATTTACAGCATTTAGCACACACCCTTACCCAGAGAGTTTAACATTCACCTCATTTATACAACTGAGCAATTGAGGATTAAGGGCCTTGCTCAAGGGCACAGCAGTGGTAGCTTGGCGATGCTGGGATTTGAAATTCACAACCTTCTGATCAGAAGTCCAACGTCTTAATCACTAAGCTACCTATATATATATATATATATAATATGAATCCAAATGCACTGGTGAGCTCAGCAACACCAAAAGACCTGGAAGGCCACAGAAGACAACTAAAGTGGATGATCACAGAATTGTTTCCTTGTTGAAGGAAAAACCCCTTCACAACATCTAGCCAAGTCAAGAACACTCTCGAGGAGGTAGGCGTATCATTGTCAAAGTCTACAATCAAGAGACGCCTTCATGAATGTAAATACAGACGGTTTACCTCAAGATGCAAACCACTGGTAACACTCGAGAACAGAAAGGCCAGATTAGACTTTGCTAAAAACCTCTTAAAAAAAAAAAAAAAAAAAGCTTGCCCAGTTCTGGAACAAGATGAACTTGTACCAGAATGAAGGGAAGAGAAGAGTATGAAGAAGTGACTGCTGATGGAAGTAGCAGGATGAATTCTGAAGTGTATAGAGCTATACTTTCTGCTCAGATTTAGTCAAATGCTGCAAAACCGATAGGACGATGCTTCACAGTGCAGATGGATAATGACCCAAAACATACCGCGAAAGCAACCCAATGGCTTCTTAAAGCAAAGAAATTAAATGTTCCTAAATGTCCGAGGACCTCAACACTAAGTGAAAAGCATGACAAAACTGAAGGCAGAAAGACCAACAAACAAGCAGCAACTGAAGGCAGCTGCAGTAAAGGAAACTCAGCATTTGGTGATGTCCATGGGTTCTAGACTTCAGGCAGTCATTGATTGCAAAGGATTTGCATCCAAGTAAAAAAAAAAAAATTCAAATATTTATGATTGTTAGTTTGTCCAATTACTTTTGAGCCTGTGAAAATGGAGGGAGTCTGCAAAAAATGGCTGTAATTCCTAAATGCAATATTTTTGTTAGACTTGAATTAAATCTGAAAGTCTGCACTTGAATTACATCTTGATTGCTTCATTTCAAATCCATTGTGGTGGTGTACTGAGGGAAAATAACATAAATTGTGTCACTGTCCAAATACTTATGGACCTGACTCTGTGTGTCTGTGTGTGTGTGTGTCTGTGTGTGTGTGTGTGTGTGTGTGTGTGTGTGTGTGTGTGTGTGTGTGTGTGTGTGTGTGTGTGTGTGTGTGTGTGTGTGTGTGTGTGTGTGTGTGTGTGTGTGTGTGTGTGTGTGTGTGTGTGTGTGTGTGTGTGTGTGTGGGTAGCTTAGTGATTAAGATGTTGGACTTCTGATCAGAAGGTCGTGAGTTCAAATCCCAGCATCGCCAAGCTACCAATGCTGCGCCCTTGAGCAAGGCCCTTAATCCTCAATTGCTCAGTTCTATAAATGAGATGAATGTTAAACTCTCTGGATAAGGGTGTCTTCTAAATACCATAAAGGTAAAATGTTCTGTAGAGGCGACTTAATGTACCATTTGTTAGCTTTGTTCAGTACTTCATTAAAATAGTTGAACTATTTAAGCTAAAAACATAACAGTATGGCCACCTCACTCATGAAAATATAAATAAACCTCTTCACTACTTGCAGTGATGCAACTAAAAGAAATCTTGACATGTAGGCCAAATCCTGACATGTTAACTATCTGTAAATGTGTTTCAGATTATTGCAAAAATTTGATTTTTTTTTTTGCATTTTTTTAGATTTTTCTGTGCAAAAAAAAAAAAAATCCCACTCTTATAAAAATGTTTTGTGTGGTTTATTTTTCATCCCCTGTCTTAGAAAAAAAAATCTGTATGTGTTTTATTTCATTAATGCATCTACCAGTAAAAGTGTAATATTATCTTCTACATAGTAGACTACTTTGCAGCAGTTAGTAAGAATACTAACTAATTGTAAGTGAAACTGTGGTCTGTTATTCTTGGAGTCTAATTAGGGATTCTTATCAAGCCAGAATCCTTTTCACCTCTTGGCTCTCCTTTGTTCAGGCTCTGTCTGAAGATCGCCACTCTCCAACAGCGCTTGTGTGTGTAAATGGCTCTGGGGAGGACAAGCTGTTTCGCAGCAAGAGCGCAGACCTCGAACTGGCCTCGAAGAAGGAGTGCGTTAAAAAGATCCCCTCGGAAGGGTAATACACTGACTCTTACCCTGAAACATCAATTGGAATTAATGATTTTATGTTTAGGACATTTATCCAGTAATAATACTTCACATACACATTGCGCTTTTTATAGTACACCTGTCTTTTTATAGTACACACTGTATATATACACACACGCACATATATACATACATACATACATATACATGTATATGTATATATGTATATATATGTTCTCGTTCACTGGAGAGATGCTGTCATGAGTGAAGACAGGTGTACTATAAAAAGCGCAATGTGTATATGTATGTGTATATATATATATATATATGTGTGTATATATATATATATATATATATATATATATATATATATATATATATATATATATATATACAGTCAGGTCCATAAGTATTTGGACAGTGACACAGTTTTGGTAATTTTGCCTCTGTACACCACCACAATGGATTTGAAATGAAGCAATCAAGATGTGACTGAAGCGTAGACTTTCAGCTTTAATTCAATGGCTTCAAGA